GAGCTTATTCTTTTTAACACATCTTTTTCATCTCTTCTCCATTGATATAGCTGATGCACTTTTCATTGAAACATCACATAATTCCATTGAGTTTGCAGATGATTATATGAAAAAGACCTGTGAAGTGTTGAAGTAAGCTCAAGTAAAAATGACAGATGCTCAGCAATCTCAAGAGAAATACATGAATTGATGAAGAGACTCAGCTTCAAGCTTTCAATCTGAAAATAAGATCTGGTTGAGCTTAGAGAATATGAGAACTAATCATCTGTGCAAGAAGCTGAACATGAAATACAATCAATATACTGTGCTAGAAAAGATAGAATTTCATGCTTACTGACTGAATGTCTCATCTGACATTCACAATGTCTTTAATATAAAGCTTCTACATGCTGTGATAACAAATCTCCTGTCTAGTCAGAGGCAAACTGACTCGCAGCTACTGACTATAGAGACTCTGGAAGGACCTGAGTTTGAGATTGAGGAAATTCAGAATGAACAAACCTACCAGAGGAAAAATCAATACCTTGTTAAATGAGTAGGTTGAGCTGAGCCTACATGGAATGACATAAGTCTCCTACAAGAAATGAAGGCCTTGAACACTTGGGAGACCTCTCAGCAGGCAAAATTAGATATAAAGAGGACTTTAAATAGTCATAAAGACCTGCAACAAAGAGGGAGAAGAAGAGTATTATAAGAGGTTGAACCTCTAGATTTGCTCTGACTGGCTGACTTAGCATAGCTATTATTTGCATGTGCACACATGATCATGCTACGTAAGCTTGCTTAAGCTTGAGTTCTCATCTCATTCTTTTCTTCCCTTTCTCAAGCAATTCGTCCTTGTTATATAGGAGGACTAGCCTCTAGTTCTTAGAGCTTAACCCTTTACATACTGGTAGATTATTATCTGTTTTATCTGCTAGAAAGTTATTCTTTTTTCAAGCCTCTAATCATTTACTTAATCATTTCAGTAGCCTTGCTTTTGTTGAATTTATAGTGTGAAATTGTCAAATCAGATGTGATGATTTCTTTAGATTTTGTACTAGATATCATGTTGAATCTTCATCAAATTCTAGTCATTTTATTTAGTATTGAAGCTACTTATAGAAGATATAGCTTGCTAAAACATTCTCAACTTCTCATTTATTTTCTTTTTGTATCTTAACTGATTCTGATATCTCATTTAGCTATCCTAGTAGAGGGTTATTTTTAGTCTTTCATAGTTTATCAGATGAGAATATTGAGTAAATTTTCATTCTGTTTAATAGCTTTAGTCTGTAGCTATTGTCTACTCTCTCAATGATCTCAAAGAAGTCTTCATATTGCTCTACGAGTTTTCTGCTGAAGCATTGAATTGACAGTACTTGTTAATCTGTAATTTTATGATTTCTTGTATCTTTTTCATATTGTTCACTACTAGCTTTCAGATTTTCTTTATTTGAATGATATGCTACCTGGCATCTTTTTGTTTAAGCTTCTCTTCTCTAGATAGTGTTTTAGATAGTAACTTCTAATTGAAGAACATTCAAAATTCATATTCATAAGCTATTAGAAAGAATGTCATCTCAGTTGATTCATTCATTAGAGCTCTAGTCATGTGGTTCATCATTGGAAGTCACTTATCCTAGTTGTTCTAATAGTAATTTACATATGAATGAAGTTTGATTGCCAGGTATTAATTCACAATCTTAGTCTGATCATCTATTTATGTGTGATGAGCTGATGAAAGCTTCAGCTTAACTCTCAATTACCTGATGAACTTATTTCAGAAGTCTGAGATAAATTGTAATTTATGATCTGATACAATTGAATCTGATACTTTATAATATACATAGTAGCATTTCAAGAACAGTTTTACTAGCTTTTTGACATTTACCTCTCTTGTAGTAGAAGTAGATATAGACTTCTTGCTTAATTGACAGACAATCATCAATATTGCATCATGGTCTCTTTTTGTTATAGAGTTATTCATAAAGTTCATTGAGATATGCTATCAGACTCTGCTAAGAATTGATAATGACTTCAGCAGTTCTGAAGTTTTATTCTAAGAGATCTTCATTCTTCAGCACATTAGATAATTGTTCATATACTGATCAATATCTTTAATTCAGTCATTTTAGTAATATCTTGTCTTCACTAATAAGTATAGCTTTTTCTTTTTAAAATGCACTGTAGATGACTGCTTGTGAATCTCTTTTAGAAGACATATTCATAGAGTAGAATTTTTCTCAATTGATATTAATAAACACTCTTCATAATATAAAAGTTTATTTATCTGCTCTTAGTACTGTTTTTTCTATTATACTTTTTTATATTCTGATCTTAGTAATTCTACTTCTCTATTTCTTTCTTTGACTTTATCAAATATATATATATTTACATTTATAGTCTTGACCTTAACAGATTTCTTGATGATCTTTAAGTTCAACTTTTTTAGCTTGAGAAATAATTGCATCTAAGTACTTTTACTATCTTTCTGAATCTTCAGCTGACTCAGTGCATCTGCTAGTATATTCTGATATCTCAGCTAATATTATATTAGAAAGTAGAGTTAGAAAAGAAACTCTACTCATCATACTTATCTAGTATTGAGATTTTTAGTTGTCATGAAGTACTTAAAAACTCTATAATTAATCAAGATTTTGAATCTCTCTGTTATATGAAGATCTTTCAGCTCAGCATATCATTTTATCAATGCTTTCATAATTACTAACATCTTCTTGTCATGAATTTTATAGTTTCTCTCTGCTTTACACATTGAAGCAGAATAAAAGATAACTAAATATCACTGCTCATTTTCACATAACTGAGATAGAACACTAGCTATAGCATCATCTGAGACATTAGTCTTCACCTAAGTTTTTTGATTTGAGTCATAGTAACAGAGCACAGGAGCTTCAAATATAAATCTCTTCATTGAATCAAAAGCACATTGATAAATCTCATTTCACTCAAAAGATTAATTTTTTCATATGAGCTTAAACAGTAATTTATAATCTGATTATAATTCTTGATAAAACATCTATAGAAGTTGCAGAATTTCAAGAGAAATTAAACTTTTTTAACTGTACTAGACACTGTTTATCTTGATATTACTGTAATTTTTTCTGAGTTCACTTTAATTTCTTGATCAGTGATAATAAAACTTAAGTACTTTATCTATTGAATATGAAATTCACATTTTGAGATGCTTCTCTGTAGTTCAGCTTCTTGTAATCTAGTCAATATCTTCTTGATATGCTTCTTATATTCTTTCAACATTTTGCTGTAGATAAGTAGATCATCCACAAAGACAGTTATAAACTGATTCAAGTAATCAAAGAAGATAGTATTTATAAAATATTAAAAGATTACTAAGCTATTACTTAGATCAAAGAGTATGACCTTATACTTGTAGATCTTATAAGATATTCTAATGACAGTCAGATCTTCAGTCTCAAAGTGCATATATACTCAATAAAAGCTTTGATGAATGTTTAATTTGATAAAAAACTTGACTTTATTTAACCACTCTATGAGTTCATCAACTAGTAGAATTGAATATTGATTCTTTTTTGAGATTGTGTTAAGCTGACAGTAGTTCATGCAGAATTTCAGCTTGCATGTAGTATGAGCTATAAGAATTAAAAAAGCAAATAAAGAAATCACAGATGAGATAAAGTCTTTCTCTAGATTAATCTTAAAAATTATATATATTTTATGAATTATATTTTTAATATTTATTTAAATTTTATAAAAATTGAAAAACTAATTAATTTTAATAATAGCTTTTAAATAAAAATAATATAAATTAAATTTTTAAAAATTAATTAAATTTTAATAAAAAATTATATAACAGTTAAATTTTAATTAAAATATAAAAATGATATAGTTTTTAATTATTTATATTTAAAATAAATAATAATATAAGTAATAATAATTTAAAATTATTAATATATAATAATTAAAAAAATATTATATATAAATAAATATATAATTATAGATAATTATATTATTTTAAATAATTTTTTTTAATTTTTATAGTTAGATATTATTAAAAATAAAGAATAACTTTATGTTTATTAAATAATATTTAAAATATAATTTAAATATATTTTTAAATTATTATAAATTTATTTTATTTATTATTTAATTATTAATATTTTTAGTTAATTTTTAATTTTAAAAAATATTAATTTTAATATTAAAATATTTTTTAATTTAATATATTTAATAATTATATTTTATTTATAATTATTTTAAATTACTTGATATAATCTTTTATTATATTAAGTCAAAGTAATAACTTTGAAAAGTATATAAAGTTTTATTGCAAAATCAATTTTATTAAAGTTTTGTATATCATTTTTAATTATTATTTTATAATTTTTGAATTCTTCTACTTTATTCATTAACAAAATATACAGTGATTATAGTTTGCATATAATTAAAAATAATATTAAATTTACATGTTCAGTTGATTTCAAATGTGATAATAGAATTTAAAATATGTGATTGAAATAGAATCTATATCATTTCACAAACAGATAGGAGCATTTTGAAAAAAAATGTGAAGAAATGATATGTTGAAAATAGTTGAATATTTGATGATTTTCAGAGAGAATCCGCCGGTCGGTGAAGTATGTTAACTCTACAAGTTTTAGAACATTTAAGTTTTGTTTAAATTTATTCCATCCTACTGTGGTCGCCCTCATATAACTGGGAGATTTTCAAGGAAACATTTTGATGAGAATCAAACTGAAGTACAATATCAGAGATCATTATTTTGTGATACAAAGATAGAGAGAGATTATGAAAAAATTTATAACACGAAACCTGTGAGGTCTATTCTATCTATCATTTATGGTAATGATAGGAACATCAAAGCAATTGGAAAGCAGATCTATCTAGGGAGATATCATTCATAAAAAACAAAAAACCACATACATTTAAACACCAAGCTGAACTAAAAACCAAAACACATAGACTAAGAGAGAGAAACGAAGAATCAAGATGAAGATCGATTATATACCCCGGTTAAACTCAACCTCTCCATTCTTCCCACCACCACCCCAGAATTCTTTTTCGAGCGAGTGGGCGTTCACTGCTTGCCGTTGTGGGAATACGCCCAGCGCAAATGGCAGCGCACATAGGGACGTTGCTAATATCAGACCTATAGAATGTGGAAATTAGTTTTAAAAGACTTTTTTTTGGTCCTTTTCCTTGGTCGGGGCGAAGCGGTGACAATAGGAGTCGATTACATACCCAAATTGACAGGAGTGACAAATCGAGGTCGTGCTTTCAGCCAATCTGTTTTTTGTAGCCGCACGAGAATCAATGGAGGAATAGCCATAACTGGAGTTGCATTCAGCACTCGACTGATGGCAGTCTCCCCCACAGCGAGTGTAGCAGCCTTTTTGCTCTTCCCCAGACTCTGCACCTCACCTCCATCAACTTCTCGTTTTGCTTTGTCCTCGTCGGAGAGCACTGGATAGACATCGATTCCCTTGCGGATCTCTTCGCCGCGCATTAGGAACACATTAAGAACGCCTGCAGTAGCCACGGCTGCGAAAGGTACTAAACGCCCTAGTATTAATTTTGTATTGGGTGCTACCCTTTTTAAATGTGGGACGACCGCATTTAGGCCTAGAGCGACGGAACAGGAGGCGGATACTGCGATAAGATATGATTTTGCAATGGTAGAATAAGATAGCGGAGTCGACTTGTTTGAGTTGGCGTTATTAATAGCGACGTTTAGAGATTGATTGGCAATTTGCCAGAGAACAGTTCCCCTTGTCTGTGTGTTTATAAGTTAGTCAGCGCAATGGTTAGAGGCAAAGCGGAAGAGCTAACCAGGAGAAGAAAACATACCCCAAGGCCAGGTGTGAGCATTCCCGCAGTTACAATCAGATTTGAAAGAACAAAACATGACATGCGAAAGGGGAGAACGACGGGTTCGCCGGTGTCTAGGTAGAGATAATTGTTAATAAATCCAAAGCTTCCAAAGTTCACCTTGCCGGCACAAGTTTCTAAGACAGGGGGGTTTGCCTGTATACCTGGGTGTAAGGTCGAATCGACAATTTGCTTGGCGTGCCAGAGTTCAGGGGTCATGGACGGGACGTGGCCATTTTTATACAATGCAATTAGGCTTTTAGCCTTTTCCAGACCAGCCCGAGAGACAAACAACGTCCTAGATAACAATATAGGATCAGGGACCAATTACCCAGTGCCCATATATATATATATATATATAAAAGAGAGGGAGGGGGTGGGAAAAATAAGAGAAAGCAAAAGTTTTTACCTGGGATCCGAAATTTCTGCCGCCTGCTTAACTCTACCCCAGTACGTATTGAGATCGTGCCTGGATGCGGGGAGGTCTCGATTACCAGGGATTGAAGCGGACATGGTGTGGAGAAAGGACAACGTATCTACGAGACCAAAAAAAGACGCCAAATAACAAGAGACAAGAAAATCAAGGCGAAAATAAGTGAGAAGTGAAGGAAATAAATGACAGGTTTCCAAGGTTGCTGCAGAAAAAAGAATGATACTGTGCTGCAGCGATCGCCCTGTACTGATATAAGTGTTGATAGTTATTAGTGGATGTATGCTTACGGAGAAAGAAGCGTTTTGTTGGGGCAACGGAGGCGGTGAAGATTTATTGCCAGAAGTGGCAAAGTTGAATCTTATCTGATTGATAACGGAGAGAGTTAGTTGAAACTACTTGCTGCGAGCATACAGATCAGTCGACCTCATCAAAAGGCTTGGCCGACCCCTCCACTTCATCACAACATTAAATTGAGGACCGTGCACATATAAAGAGAGGTTGTATGATAAAAACATTATCATAATATTTCTCTTCATATCAATAACTAATCTTTACTATTTATCAACTATATTTAAAGCACTTTAAAATATATTTATAATTTTCAAATTTTAAATAATTAATGATAATCTAAATAATTTTTTAAATTATAATAATAATAATGAATCTGATATTGAAATTAATAATAAAATCAGAATAATTTATAAAGTTATAAATATTATTATAACAGCATAAAATTATTAAGATGAAAAAAATAATTATCATTATTTAGTAATAATATAGCAATTACTTTAAAATTACTTTGTAAATAAATATCTATTGAGAATCAGAATAGATTAATTTTTAAAGTAAAAATGATTAACAATTAAAGTAGATTAATTTTCAAAGTAAAGATAAATTAATTTTAATTTATATATAAGTAGTTATATTATAATTTATAAATTTTTAATTATAATTATATTTTATTATATTATTCATATCTTGAAGTTTCAGCAGTATCAGAATATTTTACAGATTAATAATATATCTATAAGAACAGTTAAAGTAAATGAATTAAGTGTTAAAAGAGAGTGTGAGAAGCTCTATAATTAAAATTATAAGAGGGTAAACATATAGACATTATATGTACTCTAAATAAAAGAGAATAATAATGAATAAAATATATATATAGAATTAAATAGTAATTAGTTACTAAATTTTTTAAAACAACTTTAAAAATTTAGAATATTTATATATATAAATAAGTAATAATAGATTTTATCTCTAATCTTTTATAAAATAAAGAATAAATAGTATAATATTTTAATTTTTTATATAGTATTGATTTTATTCTTCAGAAAGTACTAATTTTAAAGAATTAATTTTTAAAAATTACTAATTTATACTAATTTTAAAGTACTAAATTTTAATAATATTAATTTTTTAGAAGATGTTAATTCTAAAATACTTTAATAAATAATATGATAAATAGTGTAAGAATAATAAATTAATATAGAAAATGTTGATATTGAAATTATTTCTTACTCTCATAAATATTAATTTTAATATCTATAAAAGATGATTATTTTTAAATATATATAAAAAAATGAGATATTTATTAATATAAAAGTAAAGATATAAAGTGTTTATTAATATAGAAAATAATATTTATAATATTTATTCAGTGATATTAAAAAACTAATTATATAAGAAAATTATTATAAAATATTTATTACTATGAGAATAAAAAGAAAAAATATTTTTATTCTCTAAATCTTTCTTTTTTTACAACTTTATAATTTTAATTATTATAGATTTTTTACAGTTGTTATTATATTTAATTTTAAAGTTTTTTATTTATTTTTTTCTTATCTCTATTAATATAACAGAATCTATTTCTACACTCTTTGAGTAAATTTTTCTGATTTATATATATATAATATCATCATATATATAATGATAGTTGATAAATATACTAAGTCATAGGTTATGATTATTAATTATATAATTAATTTTATTTTAAAAATATTCTCTATGAGTAATACTTACTCAATCTAAATAATTTATCTATAATATGAGATTTTTTCTATTGTAAAAAGTGTTATAGTTCTTATTATTTTATATTTAAACTATATATATAAGTAAGTATAATATGATTTTAACTGCTATATTAGAGAAATTTTTATACTATCAATATAATAAATTATTATTATTTATTTAAATTACTCTTTTTTCTGAGTTAAATTAGCTATAAGATTTTCAGAACTTTTTATTCTTTATAAAATGAGTGAAATTAATATTATATTATATTATCAGATCAAACTACTGTGTCTGATAATAATATTAATAATTTTTTTTTATGTAGCTAATTCAGCAAAAGCTTATACTACTATTTTAAAATTATTTATCATATTTAATATTAAAGTAAGACTATTAATATACTAATAGCATTCTCTGAGAATAAGAAATAATAAAATATAGAGAAAGAAATTATATATAAGATAAAGAATTTTAAATTAATCAAAAAGAAAAGTATTGAATTTAAGAAGAAAAGAATTATTATATCTAAGTAATATATAATAATTATAATAATTGTGAATAAAGATTAAGTTAGAAAGAAATAGAAATATTTACCTGAGTATTTTAACTTATTCTTTTAATTTAAATAATGATGAAAAGAATATTTTCTAAAATCTTGATAATTCCTAATACTTTACTTGTATTATTAAAATTATATAATTAAAAAAAATCATTTGAAAAAAAATAATAAAAAGAGTATATATATAAAAGAGAATTAATATTTAATATACTTTTCAGAGTAAGTTTAATATATTTATTATTATAATTTTAATTATTTAAATATTTTCACAAATTTTTTTATATATCATCAGAAGATTTATAGCTTTTTCAGTGTATATAATATTATTTTTTACTTTAATATTTCTTTTTCTTAAATATCTTTTTAACTTAAAATTTTTTCTCATCATTCACTAGCTTTGATGTTGAAGATAAAGTAATATCATTTTTTATTTTATAGAGTTCAAGCAGTGAGATATAAAAAATAAGATTAATATTATATATTTAATATAAAAAAGAAAATCTATTTATCTATATATTTTAAAATTTAATAATTTAAAAAGAGTTAATAAATTTATAATTTAATTTTCTAATAATATAATATATATAGAAGATTTTTACATTAAGAAGTACTTACTTAGTCTTTTATATAAAAGTATTTTATACTATATTTGAAGTTATAATATATTTTTTATATAATTTTAATTTTCTTTAATTATTTTTGAATCTTTTCTATATTATTTATTTTTCTTTAACTTAGTTAATTATTTTAATTAATTTTAAATAAGATAAATTTATATTAATTCAAAGAGTAAATTTGCAGTCAAAAAGTATATAAGTTGAAACTTTATTAATTGAGATATATTATAAATTATTATAGATAAACTGCATTAAAGACAGTTATCTATCTTAGTTATTCTGATAAAAATTTATAAAGCATTGAAAATAATACTCTAATATCTAATTTTAATATTAAGTTTGATCATTTATCTATAAATAAAAAGCTATTAATAATCTTTACTTAATTTTAAATAAATAACAAAGAGTTGATCAGTAGCAACTTGTGAAAAGAACTTCTCTATCTGAAATATGATTTTTAAAGATGTCAAAGATGTTATAAGTATGAGTATTAATAATATTTACTAGATCTTCTGTAGTAATATCTTTTATATATAAAATATACAAAGTATATTTGATTAAAATATCAAATAATATAAAAATTGCATCATAGATCATATTTATTCAGATTATGATTAAGAGATTAATGATAGAATTCATAGTAATAATTTAATATAAATTAATTGATGATAAAATTAAATCAAGTTTACTATATTGTATATGATACTGCACTCTCACTCTCAGATAAATATCACAAGTATGAATATACTTAATGATATTCTGAGTAAGATCATATCAATAATACTTATTTTGAATATATTAAATAAACAACTTTATGTCAAAATAATTCTCATATAAGTCATCATAATTAATGTAAATTATTTCTCTGATTAGTATTTATTATAGCAAAATATAAATTTTATTATTCATCTAAAGTAGACTATTTTTTAAGATGATTTAAAATATGCTACCATTTATAATTATATGTTTATCTCTTAACTTCTGCTTATTTACTATTGTAGAGAAGTATGAATTATATATTTTAATAAAAAAAGAGATAAAAGACTTTGACATATCTATATATATTAATTCAAAGAATATAGTAGTTTTAATCAATAGTTTAAAAATAACTCAATCTTTAAGATATTTCTTTAAAATTAAAATTTTTTACTCTGAAGATCTTCTGATCAGCATGTTAATTGATTTTAATAATTGTAATATAAGCTTATGAATAAGCATTTGATGCAGTGATAAAAAAGAATATATGTTTAAAGTAAAATTTAAAAAAGACTTAGAGCTCAGAGTGTTTAAAAGATTTTATATAAAATATGTATTTTTAATTATAGATCTATATACAGTTAATAAAAGTTGCAAGTTTTTTATAAAAGTTAAATTTTTAACTCTGTTTAGTATTATGATAAAGCTTCTTTTATAAAATATAAAATATAATTTTATTATATAAAAAATTAATATAATTTGTATAATAATTAAGTTTATTAACTAAGTTTTATTTATCTGAGTAATGATGTAGAATAGAATTATACACTAATAGTACCTTTACTCATTTAAAAATTAATATAATTAAAATAAATAAAAATTAAGTATTAACTTTCTTTTAGATAATAATATCAATTTTTAAAAACTATAATAATTGCAAGATGATTCTTATTATGAGTATTATATTATATTTCTACATCTAGAAATTTATAAGATCAGAATATAATTGAATATTAATTATTATCTTATTTTCAAATGATAATAATAATTACTACTATTGTAAAGATGTTAGATTCAATATAAGTTTTTTAACTTGAGTTAAAATGAGTAGAGAAGCTCATATAAAATATTATTTTAAAGTATCAAAGATATATTATATATCTTCTATTAAAATAAATTGCAGTTATTACTT